TTTTTTTTAAAAAAAGAACGTTCGATTGAGATCAAGAAAATGATTCAACGATAAGAAACGTCAAGGCCAACACGATTACATTGTTGCTATAAATACAGCAAAATATTTTGATATTGGAGAATTTAYAGGTGCTATCTGTTTCCATAATTTTAATATATGTTGCAGTGGGTTTTGTCGCCTATGGTTTGCTTACTTCATGATTTTTAGGSCTTTTTATGCATCTTCTATATAAAAACCTGCTTGATACGAGATCTATKCACGATGATCACAAAAGTCGACATACTGATCGAAGCATATATTAATCTATAAACGATTTTACTGAAGAATACAGCACTATATAGACAATGATGTATAGAAAAGGTCTTACCTGCAGGTCTTTAAAACTAGGTCACTGTGCAATGTTGTGAYTTTTAACATCAAGAAAATCTCGATCATTGTGTAATTTGTTGAATTGGGTGATTGCATATTAGTCTTGATCATAGTCTTAAAAATGTTTGCATTGGTTGAGCAGGAACAAAATTATATTATAGAAGGAACCAACACCAACTTGAGGTCACTTCGTCTTATTTAATCAACAACATTCATCAAATGGATCTAACTAAATACGCGAAACCACCATTATTTTCTTATGAGGGTASTCATTTGCCTTATTAAAGTGCAATTATTTTCTTTCGAAGAAATTATCGAGACAGCAGGATGAAASTGGAGAACCAGTCACTCCTGCTAGAAGCAATGCYGGTGATTCAGCCGGTCCTCMCACAGCAGYAAACAACGAGGTACAGTGATTCAAATGTGAAAAATTGAATTACTATTTTATCTAAAGTTATGTATTGCAATAGTACGAAATACACTTGTCTGTGTTTTTTTGTTTGTTTGTTTTGTTGTTTTTTTGTTTTTGTTTTGTTTTGTTGCATATATAATTTGTTTTGTTTTGCATAATATACACTTTAACTCAAAAGCAGTTTGCATGGACAGCAGTTTGAAAAGTACTCGAATGGTTTACGTTCATAAAAGCTTAGATCCTRCATGATAAGTAGAAAAAACAATCGCACCAATTGGGCTATTAGTGTCTATTTGACATGCTTCAGTTATTTGCGTTTATACTTTTTATTAATTTGTAGTGATCATTGATTGTGTCGGTTTTTAGGAAGAAGAGAATTGTTCCCAAAGTCCTCTGTTATATACAAATGGACAGCAGCTCCCTAACAATCAGCAGGTAATCAGTAAAGAGATAGGGTACAACACAAAAATATGCTTGGTATATTTTCACCAATAAGAATAATTCCCTCCATCCACTGTTTGAAACTCAGGTGGCAGCCTTTTTTAAGGCCGCCATTTTAACTATTTTATAGTTATAATATTTGTTTGATATATTGAGTATTTGGGCCTCGCAAGACTTTGATATTAATTTCATCTCTACTTCGCCACCTAGTCCAGTCCTAGCCTCTCGTTTCCGACGCTCGCGGAATCGCTGGGGAAAGAGAGTCCAGTATAACTTGCATGCGCATGTGCATGTGCAGTAATCACGAGGTCGCTAAGCTGACATGCGCATGCAAGTTATACTGGACTCTCTTTCCCCAGCGATTCCGCGAGCGTCGGAAACGAGAGGCCAGGACTGGACTACTTCGCCACCAAACGTTTGGTCTTGACGCACAAAATTAGCTTGTTTCTTGTCTGTACTACTCATTCGCTCCCCCCTCAATATCTTCGGAACCAATAGGTCTATKAGCATGAAATTTTCACACAATGGTCGCCCACGTAAAACAAACCACCACACCTAGTCTTTACCCGTGGGAACTAAATGTGACGTCATAATGACGTCATTTACGCCATATTAACGATTTATATTTAATTTTAATAAATTTCCTACAATTCCATCGAGAGTGCTGCAATATCATCTATTTATTATTGAAATGACTTGAAAATAATAATTTTGTATTTTTTAATTGACTCCTGTTCTATATGACCTCACAATGACGTCATACATTGGGCAGAATGAGGCGACATTTTCCGCTTCATTGACTCGGGCCGAAGCGCGAAATTTGAACGTCAGGCCCTGCTGAACACATCGATTTACAAAGAAAAGGGCCCAAATTGGCCAAACTCGTCATTGAACAGCGCGTTTTACTCCTAATGTTCTTACCTTATGTAAAAACTGAAAATCGGGCTTTTATTAAGAAAGGAATAAACTGGCTTTTACCGAAAACGGAATTTAAATTCGTTGAATTTTTCTAACACCAAATTGCTTTCGAAATTTTGATAGTTTTTCGTCATTGAAGTATGTGAACCTGTTGTCACGGTATGTAAC